TTCAACACAACTTAAATCCTGTGGTTAGGAGAGCGTGTAGTAATCTCAATCATGTATCGTGGCATCTACCCAAGTGGTTAATATGGAAATATGATTCCTACTAAGTTATGATTCATTTGTCTTTAAAACCAAGCAAATGATGGCTGTGTTTGGTAGGAATAGACATCTCAAACTTTGTCTTTCTTAAGTCCTTTTAAAATCACTTTTTCCTTTGGATTCTAGCAGGAGCTGTTAGGATTTCTTAATTATAGACTTTCTCTTCTGAATTATGAATTTTTAAAACAATAATTAATAGAGGCTTCCATTGTCTGAGGGGCTTTTAGATGTGAAGAGTACCCAAAACTACCTGTACTTTGTTTAATGATTGTTTCATTAAGTTCATACCAAAATATTAAGGAACCTCAAATTTTCTCGAGCATTTAAACATTAATTCCAAAATTGACTAATTACGTTTTCTGAAAAATGTTAAACTGTGAGTACAAATTGATGAGTCTTTTGAAATAACACCTTAAACAGCTGGCGAGGATTGTAAAATGTACTATTGCACATTCACCTCAACTTATTCTGAAACATTAAGACTATAGTTTAGGTAATTTCTTCTTCCTTCTGTACTTACTTAATAACTTCCCAGTGTAGTATGATTCTTAATGTGATCTGTCCCTAATGTCTCAGTATTAGTACTTTCCTGAGTTTCAATAGTCTGACTAGAAATGAGGGAAAGAGAGAGGATCCGGGTTATCGACAGGTTGAATCTTGGTCTAGACACAGTCTAGTCTGATTGTGTAGACTGGGACAATTGAAACTGAGTCACCATGCCAAGCTGTTGTTTTTGGTTTGGTTTTTGTTTTTGTGGTAAACTTTTAAGTCCTACTCTTATAAATGTCTTTGAAACTTGGTATCTCTTGCAGTAACGATGTATTAAATAAAGCTTTGCATGGCTGGCAGTACGTAACCTGTTGGCTTTGTCACTAGGGTATTTTGATATGTTCTGTTTTCATTATTTAAAATGGCTGTGTTCCTTATTGGGAATCTTGATTCTAGAGCTTGCACTTCTTGGTAATGAGGGATTTATGTACTTAACTTACCTCTTCAGGACATTGAATAATTCATGTTTTAAAATACGGTGTTAAATTGTCTCTCTTCCTTAATTATTGTATATGACCACCTGTGCCACCTGCTACCTGGTTATTCTTTGTACCCACCATGCATCCTATTATTTATGCTAATAAATCCACCCTATTTTTTATTTTAGCACCTTCTTCTGTCAGGATCATTTGGCTAAATTACAGGTTCCATGTATTTCTTTGGTGCTTACCCAGTTAGAAATAACTTTGTAAATATTGTAAATAGACAAACTTATTAGAAGGAATAAAATATGTTCAATATGAACATTCCCCTACTTACTAAAAAATTAAACTTGTATCACAGCCTGCTTTCGGGTTACGACTACCTTGCTGTGCTTGTGTTTGATGGTCAAAATCTGACAACTTGGTCAATAGGAAGTCCCATTATGTTGATGCTGATGTCCTTTTAGGACTCTGACATTTCTAAAAGTATCCGTAGTATCTGAAAATAACAGCACGTTCCAGACACACTTTGATTTTTTTCCTGCCTCTAGTCTTAGAATCAGCTACCCCCTAAGGCAGTCTATTCCCTTTATAGGCCGATGGTATTACAGGCCAAACTCATGGTCTTAAGGGTATGCAGGGTCAAAGTACTACCACTGCTGTTTGCTCCCTGTAGTAATTTAGAGCTGAAAATGTCTAATGTTGTGAGGTCACATTCTATCCTGCTGTGTCCTGTTTTTCTTACGCTATGTGATTTCACAAGACTTTCTCTTATATGGTATTTAGCGTGTACCAAAGAAGCACATGGGCATCTTGGGGGAGTATGTACAGTCTCAAAAATCATATTTCTGGTCAATAAGGGAAAGTATAAAAATAACCCTTAATTCTGCATCAACATGTCAGAATACTTTTATTTCAGGCCAGTGAACTCCTTTAAAACATTTTAGTAATGTAGAATTACACCTAATTTGCGAGACCAAACCAGAATTTTAACTCTCTTATAATTATGTAAAAGAGAGGAGTTTTCTGAACCTGTAAAAGATAATGTCTTCAGTGTATATGTGGGAGTCTAAAATTTCTAGTAGGGATTTTATTATAATTTTTAGTGTTTCTCAGAAATGCAGACAGAATAAGCTTATTATTCTGATATCTTTAACTGTTCGGCTTAAACTTTAAACTTTTTCAGAAGCTATACCAAAACTTTAATAATAGACATCTCCTCTTGGTTGACAAATTTGAATTCCCACAAACACTGTACCTGATTCCTATGCTTTCTTCAAGTGCTAAAGCTGCCTAGCTGGTAGACTTATTGCAAGAACAATTGTAGGGAAAATCTCAGGTCAACCAGGATACCTTGAGGATACCTCAAGGATACCCTGAGGTCACTTTTAGCCAGTCCACAGCATTTGGAAATTCAGAACCAACCTACACTCAAAGTCTGGATCACTAGGGCCTACCTGCCAGCCAGGTTAACCTTCCAGATGGCCTCGTTCCAAATCTAACGAACTCACAGGGTGGCAGACGAGGCCAGTGCAAATTCCTCAGTGTTCAGAATAATATCTCCCATGTCTGCTTTCATTATTGTTAACATTCAAGAAGATAAAAGAAGGCTCCTGGCTCACGTTAGTACTCCCATAGGGGTTTTGCCGTCTATGTCCCATGCAACAAGTGCCATAGCCCCCCCAGGTATATGGGGAGCCATTACCCACATACCCCCTTCACTGTTTCTCAGAAGACATGCACAGGAAGCTGCAGAAATTGCTCCCTGTGATACACTTTTCTGTTGTTCTTATATCAGTTCCCTTCTTAAAGGCTTAAAAATGCATCTAAATATAATGTTTGTATTAAATATTTATTAAATATTAACATTACTGTTAATAATGTATTAAATATTGTATTTCATATTTGAAACTTGACATTTCTGTCAAGTTAGGCTTAACTAAATTGTTGATGTGTCTATGTAAATACTCTGATTCAAGATAAAGTCTCAGAAGGGAAATAGGATTTATACACTGGGCCTGATCTCCCCCAGGAAGTAGGGTATAAGTTATTTATCTTCCGGGCACAAATGGTTTTTAGGCCACTCTTCTCTATGTTTGGTTAGAACCTTAAGCGTTGGCCAAGTTGAACCACCAGAAAGGTTCATTTTTATGTGGGGGCAAACATGGTTTAATTTAGGACTTTCATAATAAACCAAGCCAGTATGGTAATACTACTTAACACATCTGATCTGACTTTTTCAGTGCCTACTGATACATAAAGAAGACCAGGAAGCCTAGCAAATTGAGAATCAGGCGAATTGGTTTCTAGAACCGAGTGATCAGTAGCCAGCAGTATGACCTTGCTGTCTACAAGGCTCTTGTCCATAAAAGAGGATTAAGCATTTCTGATTCAGGTATTACTGAGTTACAAAAGAGGAAAACTTCAGAGGCTAGCTGAAATAAAAGGTTCACTGCAAGGGTATGGCGGGGAATCTCATTAAGGGCAGGAAACAAAGTTTAACCAGCCTACATGACCCTGGAACTGAAAAGTTCTCTCAGCCTCTCTGGGGTTCTCAAGGTCCCTTGAG